TGTGAGTATGTGACTCCAGTGTGAAAACGGCCCGAAAGTTCCCACATGTGCACTGGAGACGCGACGTCAACCACAGCGAGCGTGCTCTGTGTTTACGGAAGTTGTTCAAACATGGACGCAGCATCAAGCACCTGGAGATTTTAAAGTTCCTCTCGTACCGGAGCCAGAACATGAACAACTTACTTGTTTTAAGGAGGAGATTGAGAAGGAGAAGGACGAGGTTTTTTGGTCGTGGTGTTTTGTGGGGCAGTGGCAGCGACGTCCGTTGAAAGGAACGTGTGGATGTGGACCAAGAGTGGTGAGTGGTGATGTGCTTCAGTGACACAGAGTTCATTAACAATTTTCACCTACTTCAGCACAGAATAGTGACGTTTGTGTCTTGTTGATAATGTGTAGGTTGAATGAATGCGCTTTGGCCATTCACACTGAAGTCGCATGTCAAAAGATCAGATATGTATCGGTTTTAGGAGCACATATCCAAGTGTCCTGGGTCACATTTGAAAAAGATTAGATACAGGTCACAGGTGCCAAAAAATCAAATTTGGGTCACTTCAGGCTGCAGTCTGAACGCAGCCTTAGAGGCTCGTGTGCATGTTTTGGTTGTTTTCTTGTCACATTCTGTTTTGTGGTTTTTTTTTGTGTTAATGGCTCCACCTCTTTTCCCTGTGTATGGCTTGTTGCATGATAAATAAGATATTTCATATATTCCATTGCTCTTGGTCTGTTTTGTCCTTGGGCTGTAGCTGTAGTAATGTTGTGTGCTGTTTAACTGGGGTATTTGTTTTACGTTTGATCATGGCCCATTGTATTTTTTCCATTATATGTCCACTGAGATTCAGAAACACGTCCACCAGACTGTAAACCAGGATGAGGGGGTGTACCAACTCTTTGAAGAAATGGGCCTGCAGATGGTGCTGTCTGTAAATAAGAATAACAAATGTAGTAAACTAGTCGTGTCTCTGTTGCACATTTCATGGATTCACTTGACAAAAGTTTATTCATTCATATTGGTTTCAGTGGGTTTGGACGATTCACCAGGTTCATAAATGAGCTCTTGTTTTATTGTTTGTTTTTTATTCAGCTTTTGCAAATTAGTTTTAATATCCATAAAACTTTTATTTTACTTTCATGTGTAGTGTGTGAAGGGAGAAGAAGAATTTCAGTATTTGGAAAAAAAATATGTGAAAAACAGTTTTATTATGTATTGGTCTGTTTAGTTATTTGCAATATTAAACACGGTTTTATTTGTAAAATAACAATGGAATTTGAAGTTCAAGGAGGATGTAACTTAAAGGGGCTGTATTGCACAAAATTTACTCTTGTGAGGTTTAAGACTTGTTATAATGTTGTGACCACATCAAAAACAGAGTGAGATGTGTTTGTTTCATTCACACATGTTTGAGTAACTCTTTGTTACCTGGTCTCCAAAGGCTTGACCAGGTTTTGTACTCACCCTGTGTGTGTGTGTCTGTCCACCCACGATAATTCCGCCATTTATGGACCAATTGTCACCAAATTTGATACATAGGTCAAGCCCCCATGTTCAATGATGCAAAAATGCCGTATTTGAGGTCACACGGGTCATTTGAAAGGTCACCCCATTATAAAGGATCGGCAAATTCACCCAATCATCACACAAGTTGGCACACACATAACCGGGGTCCACTGGATGTTACAGGTTGAAACCGGTCAAAGTCACTTGAAGGTCAAAGTAACCAAAGTCAAATATGCGTTTTTGGTCGTAACTCCACGAAGGATGAAGCTCGAGCAACGGGAGTGTCTCAAAATCTCAGAAAAATTATTATCTCTTTATAATTCTATGCATTTGTATAGTCAAATATTAATAGTTTTCCAGATAATCACTAATTATAACAGTTTCTTTCTCTTTCAGTGTAACCATTAAAATTCTATTTGGAATAAAAATAATTTCCATTTCTTCTTTTTCTGGTGATACACAACACATATACAGCAACATTTACACAACTCATGAAAAATGACATTTTGGTTACACGCTAGTAAATGTGTGACCAATATCACACAGATGTTCATGGGCCTGTACAGATACACACATTGCATTGTGGATATAATGATCATGTAATATGGGCTGGACTTCTCATAAACTGCTTCCGTGGTGATGAACTGACCCCACCAATGCCTCATGGGGACCAGGTTGAGATCTCTGATTGCTCTTGTTTTTAGTCTGTCTTCATCGTTTTTAGTCTGTCAGTATCGATATCATGGGCTGCTGTATATATCTGTATTTTTGCTCTACTTTGCCAAATTATTTTGTGACAGCATTGCAGTTGTGTTGCTTATTTAGAGAAAGGAACCATGTTTATGCAGGACATTTGACATATTCACTGTTCAATTATTACAACATCACATTATTTCATATTCACTTTGCACAGGTCATAGTTTAACAAAGACTTATCACATGACGTAGCACATGATTTAAAAGTGTTGATTTAAAAGAGCATTTAGAGCAGTTCAATATCACATGTGTCTTTGTAAAGTACATGTGGAGCTGGTGTACACTGTGGATGAATCAGCACTGACCATGGCAACAGTTTGACGTGGTCTAATGCTGAGTCACATGCACTAAACAAATGCACTTTGTTCTGTTCATGCATGTTGAGTAAATGGCCGATAAATACACCATTCAGGTTTTGTGTGTGTGTGTATTAAGTAAGGGTCCGAAAGCCTTTGACTTTTACTGAACCGTATTGAATTGATTTGAAATATATCCTTTTGAATTGTATCGAATCAAAAGTGCACTATCGAGATATAAGCCTGTCTTCTCTCTACAGTTCAAATCTTAAAATTATCTAAAATCTCCCCACTATTTCACAGAAGAGGTACTGTCTCTCTAGTGCTGTCAAGCAATTAAAACAATTGAGAGATTAAATAATTATGATCTGTAATTAATTAATCTAATTAATCTCTTTTTTAATATCACCTAAAAATTGCCTAGAAAAGCCTTCAACTTGAGGTATTTTCATTTGAATTCATTATTACATTATTTTCATACTATCATTAACGTTTTTATATAAGTATCATCATTATTATTATTACTAATCTGCATAAATAAATTCAACTTTACAACATATAAACATCACCACTCTAGAGCCACATCAGCCCGTTTGACATTAGAATGTGTTTAATGCAGCTTTGCACAACTCTCACAGAAACAAAACTTAAAACCACATGGCTAATTTGCATAAACTAAGCGGAGAAAATGATGTGGTTCAACTTCTACTAAAGGACACGACTCAGTGGAATATAGATGTTCTTTCTGTGACAGAGGGATGTTCTGCGGAAGGTGAGTCTGTTCTGTGTCTGTGTTGTGATGCTTTCAGAGATCAGACGTGTACAGGTTTATCACAGAACGGGAATGAAAATTAGGCTACAATTCTTTGCAGGAGTGAGCGGAGCAGGACTGCACAGTGCAACTGTGTCCTAACAACACATAAAAACAGATTTTATAATAAGGCAACTCACATACAGAAACAGTAAAGTTATACTGATAAAATGGTCTGAGGGGGGTTGCTCAAATTGCAAAAACTAATTTGACAACAATAACATGACTTTTAACATTTCTCTGTCCAGCATGTTTAAATCTTACAAAGGTCACTTGATTGTGGCCGATGTGAGACCTGCAGGTTTTAATCAGGTTGAGGAAACATGACTTTATTATCAATCTCTGGTGAGGCTCCTCCCTCTGGAATCCTCCTCCCCAAAACTTTTGGAGGGAAAATTCAAATGTAGCAGGACACAGGACAGATCCAGGAGCAGAGGACACACAGTGTGGAGCAGGAGGATTATGAGAACTGATCTGGAGGTGAGACTTTTTAAAGATTTTATTTGCTTCTCTGGCCTAGAATGTCGTCATTGATAAAACAAGTTTGTAGTGTTTTATTTGAAATTAGAGTTAATGTAAGGACTGTTTCCATGAAACAAATTGAATTTGACTGTCAATCTACAAGAGTGTGACAGTTGTACTAAGATTATGTAAGATAATGTGTTGCTTCCAGAGTCGTCTACAAACACAGAGTGACGTCCAGAGCTCTGCTGGAGCTGTGGGGAAGTTCATCAATGTTATAGTTGATGTTTTAGAAAAAAAGAAGATGTTTAAGAACCAACAAAACACAGAGCACAGATGAACAAAGTAAGTAAACCTACTAAAATGATTTTAAAATAATTTTTCAAAATGTACTTCTATTGAAACAGTTATCGTGTTTCTACAGGGTGATGTGGCACTAGGAGACTTTATACCAGATGCCCTCCCTGTTACTGTGTTTAGAGGAAGAAAAGCAGCACACGGTGAGTTTAGTTTCTGCAGATACACTTCTAATGTTCTTGTTCTTCTGTTCTGGTCCATTATAGGTACTTTAAATGTATTTAAACATGTACAACAGAGTAGATCATCAGAATGTGATCATCATGTGTTATTCTGTGTCCACAGGCAGAGACCAGAGCTTCTTCACTGGAATAAATCTTCACACTGTCCAGCTCCAAACTGTGTGTCTCTGTCCCTGTGCTCTCTTTGTGTTTGATTCTGTTTAAGACAATACAGAACTGTGGAAAACTGAAGACTGTTTTTGTATTCTTTTACAGAATTAGATCAATTAAATTAAATTATACAGACTTATACATTTCACGATAAGGTAACATAAGATAAATCTGCATATTCAACATGATTTGATCAAATTTCATCAACATGAAACAGTGACGTTCATGTTCTGAGAAAAATATGTGTAGAGGGGATCGAAATAAGTTTCAAAGCCTAAACATCATTTTATTGCATGCAACCGCTTTCCAGAACTTTTTTATGCAAATCCAGCAACCTTTTTTTTTCAGTGTAGAGATTAAAAATAAGATTAACGTGATTAAAAAACATAACGCGCTAAATATGACTGTAATTAATTAATCGCGATAATTTGACACCCTATGTCTCTCGGCGTGTTCTGGATGATAGCGTCCGTATGCGTGCTGCGTCTTACCATGTCCTGGAGGGCACGTGGTATCGGTACAGGTGGTCCACCAGGCCGTACTTGTTGTGTCCCAGAGCCTTGTATCCTCCATGCACAAACACACTGCCACTGCCCTCGTCGTACACACTGCTGTGGCCATACCCGCCCCGCACCACGGCGCCCCGAGTGGACAGCACCCGCCACGACTTGTCACCTGGAGCACACAACAGAGACACACAGGCAGTGGAAGGTTAGGAAGACTTTATCAATATGGATGAAATGTCAAGTATTTGAAAACAAATGGATTTGGAAACGATGAAACTGCCTCACTGTAAATGTTTTGTTGGTTTGCTTTTTTACTTAAAGTGGATCTGTTATTTAAAATGGACCGTTCAGAGCTTTTAATCATGTTTTATGTCTCTTCCCTCAACATTGACCTTGTATTTGGAGTGATTTTTGCATCTTTGAGCAATCTTTAAACACTTATTTTGAAGGCACATAACATAATGATCCAGAGGTGTCATGATTTACCACCATACAGCAGACACAAGCCAATGTTTAGAATTGTGTTTAGAATGTATTTATTTGGAGGATAAACCCCTTGAGATGTCTCCCCATTTCATTTTCGAGGGAGTCCTCATAAATACAACAACAAAAGAAAGATACAGTAGGGCAGACAGTAAGATACAGAAATTTAAAAACGCATCAAAACAGCAAAATCAACACAACCACAAACACACACACACACACACACACACACATACTCACACACACTCAATCATACTTGACTGTTTGACATATAATAAAACAAGTTTGAGGGGGGAAAAACAGAGTTCATAGATAATCACAACAAGATGAACAACAAAAATTCAACAAAATGATCAAAAACAATGACATGGGTTCTGTAAATATTGAACAAGAGCATTTTTAAATGAAGGGACTGACGTTAATGCACAAATCAATGAAGGAAGATTGTTCCAATCAGAGGGAGCTTTATATTTAAATGAGTGTTTTCCTGTTTGTTTTTTGACTCTTGGGACGACAAAAAATATCTGATCTGTGTGACGTAAACTGTAAGAGGACCAGAATGGAATTAAATACTGTTTAAGATATTTAGGAAAACTGAGATGAATGCATTTAAAGATAAATAATAACAGTGAAGTTGAGGTTGGGAGGACAGAGTGAGCAGGACAGTTGTTGAGTTCTGAAGGGACAGTGGAGAATGAACGTGCACAGATTGTTCTAGATAACGTTGAGTGGTTGGAGGAGAGAAGTTGCAATATGCAATGCAATATGACTCCTTTACCTTCACCTTTGCAACTTTTCTGATGGGAATTGGACCAAGGAGATGTTACGACTTTGCCTTAAATGTTCCACAGAAGAGCATTAAACCATTTCTGTTTAAGGTATTTATGGATTTTACCGTTTCATTATTTATTTTGCGATATTAATATTTTGACAGCTCACATGTGGTGGTGAATAATCATTTTTGAACTACTGTAGAAAAAAAAAATATATATATATCTATATATATAGATATATATATATATAGATATAGATAGATATAAAATTCTTGTTTATTTATTCTGATAACTGTACATGTAAGACATACAGAAAATATAAGATTCTACTTGGCTTTCTGGCATTCTGTTGGCTTTGTGGTCATTAGTTACCACCACACAGATGAAGTTCTCAAATATTTCACATCAAGTGCCACCTAAAAAACATGTCACTTTCCATACCATCAAAACTAAACCAGGATAAATTAGGTCTAAACCAAACTTAAAATAGGTCTACATTACTGCTTCTAAGATAGGACTGACGAAGAACTGTGGATTAAATTAACTCAGCAAATTGAACTATTGAACTGGAGAAGGATCTGCGTATCACCTGAAGGTTTATGGAGGTTGGACTGACATCTTGTTTCAAAGGAGATGTTACAGTTTGGCCTTGAATGTTCCACAGAACATTAAACTATTTCTTTCTAAGGTATTTATGCATTTTTAACAGTTTCATTATTTCTTTGCCATATTAATCTTGTGGAGCTTTTGACAACTCACGTGTGGTGCTGGATAATCATTTTCTGAACTACTGTAAAAAGAATATATATATATATATATATATATATATATATATATATATATATATATATATATATTATATATATTATATTTTTTTTTTTTTTTTTTTTTTTTTTTTTTTTTTTTTTTTTGTTTATTTATACTAACAGATAAGATGTTGAGCTTTGTTTCAGTTTTTGTTTCATGTGCATAAGTGCAGTAATCACAGAGGTATGAACCATAAACCAGGTTAACAAATCTGCAATCTGACATTTACAGCAAACTCCACCTGAGACTCTGACCTGTGCTCTCAAATGGGGAATTATTACAGATTAATTTCATCATATTTTGTCAGGAAAATGCACACATGCTGATCATTTCTATTCTGCCCTACAAAGGTAAAAGAGTTTAACTCTCCAGACTGTGAAACTAAGAAAAATGACTTCAAGTTTGTGTTTTGTCCAGACAAAAGTAGAATAGGCAGAACTCCCAAAATGTGACAACTAGTTGCCCTAATGAAGAAATATTTGTATATGAAAAATACTGCACTCAAAATTGACCTTTGGCCTTATATGTCAGTTCCTGTTCTCTGTCTTTTTATCATGAGCCAAAAATAAGTTTTGGTGCAAAGCCCAAAGGCAGAAACTGACATGATCATGATTTGGTTGATTTTGTCCAGACTTCCATCTATTATAAGAAAAACACGTCACCAAGCTCCAGTCATCATGTGTTGGAAATGATACAGAAGAGATTTGGATTTTCTGTTTAGTTCTGATCAGGATCATGACACTTCCACAGTGACACAAGTGACTTTGCAGTTTAATGTGTACAGTATGAATAAATACACACAATACTTTTACTTTAAAGATCATTGAAGTAGAACTGAACAAGACCCTAAGATACTTGAACTCCTCCACTAGAGGCAGGTTGATGCGGTCGCTGTATCGGACCGTTGTGGTGAAGAGGGAGACTGACTGATACAAGCGCTCGAAATGAGTTTCCTCCGCAGGGTGTCTGGGCGCTCTCTTAGAGATAGGGTGAGGAGTTCAGTCACACGGGACGAGCTCAGAGTAGAGCCGCTGCTCCTCCACATGGAGAGGAGCAGTTGAGGTGGCTCGGGCATCTGTTCTGATGCCTCCTGGGCGCCTCCCTCTGGAGGTGTTCTGGGTATGTCCCACTGGGAGGAGGCTCCAGGGAAGACCCAGGACGCTGGAGGGCGATGTGTGTGGGTTGGCCTGGGAACGCCTCGGGGTTTCTTCGGAGGAGTTGGAGGAAGTGTCCGGGGTGAAGAAAGTCTGGGAGTTCCTGCTTAGACTGCTGCCCCCATGACCCAGCCCCGGGTAAGCGGAAGAAACTGGATGGATAAGTATAATTGAATACAAAGATTTATTTATTGAATGTGTTAAGACCCTGAGCCAAGGACGAAGCAAAAAGAAGGAGGCCAGAGGTTGGATTGGAAAATAAAATATATTTATGAACTAAATCACAAACAAATAAAAAAAAAAAACACACACTGTTTCTGCCTTTGGCCTTTGCACGAAAACTTATTTTTGGCTCATGATACAAAGACAAAGAACAGGAACTAACAAATAAGAATTAAAGGTTAATTATGATTTCAATATTTTTCACATATTTATTCACATGATAAAGGAGGACGCAAATGCAAACAAAATGACATGAACTCATTTTTGACCATGATTTTTGAACATGATGTTACGGTGTTCTGCATTTGTAGTGTCAGTGTCAGTGACCCATTAGATCCATGAACTTCTTGTGTTACAATAATATTCCTTTTGTCTGCCCAGCTGTTTTATCATTATTAGTATTATCAGTATTATTATATAATATTATCAGCCTACAGAATGCTGTGACGTCATCTGAAGCTCAACAATTACACCATTACTAAAAGCTCCACAGAGTAGATTTAGCTGACCGTGCCTTTTTTAATGCCCACAAGTTCTATTTGATGATTTTCTAAACTTCCTGATGTCTTGGCTTGCTCCACTCATTCTTTCTGAGCCAAAAACACAGGCTTTGAGAAATGGCCCTAGGTAAGAGGTACAGCGGAGAGGGGAGGCACAGGAGGAAATGAGCTTTTATTCCATTTAAAATCCAGCTTTATTAAAACAGCACAATGAATACAAATTAATGTATGCAAAAGGGAGCTCATATTACATCACCCGAGCAGCGCGCCATAACAAACAAATAAACAAAGGACGGTGCGCAGAGGAGAGGTGCATAAAGATCAAAGCGAAGAAAAGACATGAAACGGAATAGAAAAGAGAAAGAGCTATTGGAGTGTGTGGAGGTGGGAGAATAAGTCCCACCGTGTCCACAAGGGGGAGTAGAGAGCACTGTGAAGAAGAAGAATCATGTCCTTAAACATAAGAAGGGGTGAGTACGTTTGTTTCATTCATAATGTCCAGTTTGCATTCATTGAAGTTAAATATAAAGTACAACCACAGCGCTCTAAAGTGCTGGACAAAGACAATATAAAGTGTAATTTTATAAAACTAAACAAAACAAAACAACACAAATGTCCCCTTAGAATGTGTTAAAAGTCAGTGCAGACAAGAGTGAAAAAATGCATAGCACACTCAGATGGCCCATGTCCAAAAACTTATTTTATTTTCAAAATAATGTATAGATAAAAAAAACTTATATATATATATATATATATATATATTTATTTATTTATTTATTTATAGAGTGTGTTATGCATTTTTTCACTCTTGCCTGGCTGCTCCTTGCATTTACACCTCTACAAGAATTTTGGTGTGCGTTTTCTGTTTCTTTTGAAAAGTCAGTGCAGAGACAAAGATTTGAAAATATTTCAAGATGGGCCTGTTCCAATGGTAAATGATCACAGTTTTATATAACGCCTTTCACCTTCGAGGCTCAGAGCGTTTTACATCAACAAACTACTCACCCTCACACACACATTCATACACCAGTGTATGCAGACACTGGGGGCAAGGGGGCTAAGTGTCTTGCCCAAGGACACAATTGCAGCATTCATCTCTTCTTTCATCTGACAGCTCAACTAATTTTACTTCAAGAGCAGGATTCAAACTGCCAACTTTTGGAACAGTGGACAGACACTATTCCAACTGAGCTACTGATACTGAAGACGCTTTAAAGAGTCTGAGACCAG